AGACCAGGTGGCAGGCACAAAGATCTATATTGAGCAAAGAGAGAGCATGAAGGGTTTTCCTCCTAAGACTGGCTGTCTCCTAGTTCACAGCCGGAAATGCTTTTCAATGAGGAACAGGAAACTATAAAAAGGAGAGGCAAACACCCCAAGACACCCCTTTTTCTCTCCCTCTCTGTCTCTGGCATCACGCCTAAGAAGTCAAAGGAAAACAGCTATTGGACTCTGGGGGAAGGAGTCCTGACCTGATGAGTTTGGCCAGTAATCTTTCTTGATTCATGTGGTCAGAAATTTTGCTTAAAACTAATATAGTTTGTGAAGTTAGGCACCAGTAAGCGTTTAGCTTTACTTTTCTTGCAGCCATTTCTGACTTTTATGTCTCATTGCTTGCATTCACTTAAAATCTCTCTCTTTGTAGTTAATAAACTTGTTTTATTGTTTTATCTAATCCAGTGTGTTTAAGTTAAAGTGTTTGGGTAACTCTATTTAAGATAACAGGCTAGTGTATATTATTCCCTTAAAGGACTGACAGACAATATATTTGGACTGTCCAGGTGAGGGCTGGGCACTGAAAAACATACATTTCCGAGGGAAAGTCTGGGACTACGTTGGGGTCACCCTGCTGTATAACCAAGGTTGGTGAGACCCAGGGTGTGACTGGCAGGCTTCAGTTCCACAAACATGTCTGCGAGTGACCTGCATGCTGGTGGCTGATTGTGAGCAGTCCAGGTTGGAGACTACAGCAGCAAGGCATTGCAAGGCCCCCCTAGTCATGGGGGGCAGGCGACACAGCCTCTCACTGGTCTGGATTGTACCCCTGTATGTCACAACTCTGATCCTCCTTTATTTTCGTGACAATGTCAGGTCAGTAATTGCATTTTAAAAAATTATATTAATTAGGGATTACCTTTCCCCCCACCCCACCTCCTTATGCACTTTGTAGTTTGTATTAGCCCAGATCCCCTCAAGGATAGGCAGCTGCACATATAAGAACTTAAGAACGGCCATACTGGGTCATATCAATGGTCCATCTAGCCCAGTATCCTTACTTCCAACAGTGGCAAATGCCAGGTGCTTCAAAGGGAATGAACAGAGCAGGCAATCATCCATCCCCTGTTGTCCATTCCCAGCTTCTGGAAAACGGAGGCTAGGGACACTCAGAGCATGGGGTTCTCCATTGATGGATCTATCCTCCATGAACTTACCTAGTTCTTTTTTTAACCCTGTTATAGTTTTGGCCTTCACAACATCCCCAGGTTGACTGTGCGTTGTGTGAAGAAGTACTTCCTTTTGTTTGTTTTAAACCTGCTGCCTGTTAATTTCATTTGGTGACCCCTAGTTCTTGTGTTATGTGAAGGAGTAAATAACATTTCTTTATTCACTTTTTCCACACAATTCATGGTTTTATAGACCTTTATCATATCCCCCCTTAGTCACCTCTTTTCCAAGCTGAAAAGTCCCAATCTTTTAAATCTCTCCTCATATGGAAGTTGTTCATTACCCCTCATAATTTTTGTTGCCCTTTTCTGTACTTTTTCAAATTTCAATATATCTTGTTGAGATGGGGTGACCAGATCTGCAAGCAGTATTCAAGATGTGGGCATACCATGGATTTATATGGAGGCAGTATGATATTTTCTGTCTTGTTCTCTATCCCTTTGCTAATGGTTCCTAACATTCTATTACCTTTTTTGACTGCCGCTGCACATGAAGTGGATGTTTTCAGAGAACTATCCACAGTGACTCCAAGATCTCTTTCTTGAGTGGTCACAGCTAATTTAGACCCTCATCATTATATATGTATAGTTTGGATTATGTTTTCCAATATCTACTACTTCGCATGTATCAACATTGAATTTCATCTGCCACTTTGTTTCCCAGTCACCCAGTCTTGTGAGGTCCCTTTGTAACTCCTTGCAGTCTGCTTTGGACTTAACTATTTTGAGTAATTTTGTATCATCTGCAAATGTTGCCACCTCACTGTTTACCCTTTTTTCCAGATCATTTATGAATATGTTGAACAGTACTGGTCCCAGTACAGACGCCTGGGGGACATCACTGTTTACCTCTCTCCATTCTGAAAACTGACCATCTATTCCTACCCTTTGTTTCCTGTCTTTTAACTAGTTACTGATCCACAAAAGAAACTTCCCTTTTATCCCATGACTGCTTACTTTGCTTAAGAGCCTTTGGTGAGGGACCTTGTCAAAGGTTTCTGAAAATTTAAATATACTATAACCACTGGATCACCCTTGTTCACATGTTTGTTGACCCACCTCAAAGAATTCTAATAGATTTACAAAAGCCATGCTGACTCTTCCACAATAAATCATGTCTAATATCTTAGGTTGGTTTGCCAACTGTGGGGTTTGCTTTACAGTAGGACTTTCTCCTCTTTTCTCCTAATACACCTTGTTTTTAGTTCAGATCCTTGCAGTATTGATTTGTGTCTGGGATGTTCATGCAAAGTTGGCCTGGGCGAGGTCACCTAGCACCCCACATCGCTGGAAACCTCATCCACTGCCTCACCTGTCCGAAACCCACCCGACATAGGAATCTTAGCCAAACACACAGATCAACCAGTCCTTTCTTCTAACAGGCAGCCAAGGCCAGGGCTGTGGCCTGGAGCTAGGTCTGAGCCCCAGAACCTCATCTGCAGGCTTTCCTTGTGGGGGGAAAAGTTTCAGACCCTGGGTCACATCCTGGCCTCACTGCAGTGAATGGCAGACCTCCCACTGGTGTCAATGGATTTCACTTCATGAGTGGAATGAGAAGGGCATAAAATGATAAGGAGACATGCACAGATTGGGGTCTGTTTCTTGGCTGTTACATCAGTTCCAATGGACTCATACAAAACGTATGTAATATAGGGGAGACTCAAGTCCTATCTATCTGCCTGTCTCCACACACTCACCTCTATCTGTTGACCCATACACATCCCTATATCTATCCGCATACACACCCCTTTATTTATCCATCCATCCAACCCCCCTCCCCAAGCCCCCCACCTATCTATCAGGACTGAACGCTGCTGGGATCTTGCCCCGCTTGTCTCCATTCAGAATGCTGCTGCAAAGATCGCTCTCCTAGCCAGTTGCTTTGCCCGTGTCACCCTTCTCTTTGAATCCCTCCACTGGCTCCCCTTTCTCCAGCTTGTCAGTCACTTTCTCCAGCTGCTTGTCTTCACTGGCAAGAGACTGCAATGTTTATTCCCCATCCTACCTATCATCTCTCATTCAGCACCAAGAGGTCGACTCCCTCCTCTGGTTGGCCCATGATTCAGCCTACTCATGAAATTCGCAAACAAGCCCCTTTGTGCTTTTTAATGTGCTGCCCCTCAGGCTTGGGAGGAGCTCCTCAAAAACATCTGCAAAACTACCTCTTCCTCCTTCTCCTTCAAATGCCTCCTCATAACACTCCTTTGCTGCAATGCCTATAAAAAACCCGACAACAGTCAGACTGCTGGTGCACTGAGACCACTGCTGATCCTGTGACCCATTATTAGCTCATTGGTTCCTTTTACTGCCCTGTCTGTCTCTGCTCTCTTTTGCTTTAAACTCATATTGTATGCCCTTTGGGGCAGGGGATGTATTTTTGTTTTGTGTTTGTACAGTGCCTAGCACAGTAGGACCCTGGGCCATGACTGGGGCCCTTAGGAACTACCATAATATACCTCATAGACTTTAAGGCCAGAAGGGATCATCCTGCATGTCGCAAGCCACAGAACCTCCCCCGGGCCCTCCCGTAATAGACCTCTAACCTCTGGCTGAGCTACTGATGTCCTCAAATCATGAGTTAAAGACTTACAAGTTACAGGGAATTCACCATTTACACTAGTTTAAGCCTGCAAGTGACCAGAGCCCACGCTGCAGAGGAGGGCAAAAAATGGCCCCAGGGTCTCTGTCTATCTGACCCAGGGGAAAAATCCTTCCTGATCTCAAATATGTCTTCTCTCTTCTGTGTTGTATCTTTTGCTCTTTACACAACAATAATCAGAAGGAATCACAGCTGGGTTCAAAATAACTGTGTTTTCTAAACATACGCTAGAGGGGCATGAGTTCTGGGACTCCTGGTATCCCTCCATCCCTGAATGCCCTCCTCCCATCCTCTCTATTTCAAGGTCTCCCTGCAACCCCCCAAACCCTGCAATGCCAGGGCCCTCTGTGTGCCCCCTTCCCCTATACCCCCTAATTTCCCTCCCCTCACAAGGGGTTGGGTGCCCCCTGTGAGGGGTTCTCTGTGCCCTCCTTTTCCCCATACCAGGATCCTCTATTCTCCCCACCATGCCAGAGGTTCTATCCGGCTCCTGCCAGGGAAATACATCCTGCTGCTCTGACTGCTTATGAAATCAGACATAAGAATACAGAAGTGTCGCAAGCCACACTAGTACTGAAGAATTGCGGACTTTCTCATTTTTACCATGTCATTATAAAATTAATCAAATGGAATATAAATATTGTACTTACATTTCAGTGTACAGTGTGTAGAGCAGAATAAACACGTCATTGTGTGACATTTTAGTGTGTACTGGCTTCACTAGTGCTTTTTTGTGTAGCCTGTTGTAAAACTGGGCAAATATCGAGATGAGTTGATGCTCCCCCCGGGAAGACCTCTGCCTAGCCCTGGCTGAGAACCACTGCTTTAGGCAAACACAGGCGACTGGGCTCAATACGGAGGCAACTGGGTGAGATTCTGTGGCCCATGCTATGAAGGAGGTCAAGGTAGATGATCAGATTCCTTCTGCCTTAAAATCCATGAATCTGCCCTTCACTCCCGTGACCCTTTCCCTCCCCCTCTTCTCCCTCCATCCCTCTTCTGTCTCTTTTTTCTACTTTCTCTTTCCTCATCCTATTCTCTCCCCATCCCATCCGTCTCAATCACATTCCCACCCTCTCCTGTCTCGTCTCCTCCCCCTGTCCTGGTGTTGCTCCTTGTGATTTGCTCCCTGCCTCTGGGAGAGCCCAATCAGGGATCCCCCTGCCCGCAGCTCGCTCCTCCTTCTGGGAAAGGTGCACAGAGGAAGCAGGGAAGTGGGCAGACTGGATCGCTGGTTTCTCCCTGCGTCCCTCCCCAGGCTCCTCCTCCGGTCCCTCTGTCCCCCTCCCGCGCTCTCCCGGCCTGTGCGCGCTGGGAAGCCCCAGGCCGGAGCATGGAGAGGGGCGCAGGCCTGCCGCAGCACATCATGGCCCAGGTGCGCGTCCAAGCCCCGGGGGCCGCGGCCAGCCGGGAGGATCCGTGCCGGGAAGGCTCGCGGAGGCAGCAAGCGGCTGCCGCCGGGGACAGGCTGGCCGGAGGGCGGCTGCTGGACAGCCGCAGCTTGGATGGGATCAGCCAGGCGTACGGGGCCAGCCGGGCGCAGGAGGGGCGCCGCGCCACCATCTCCAGCGCCCTGGAGCTGGAAGGGACGGTCAGCCACGACGGGGACCTCACCCACTTCGTGGCCAACAACCTGCAGCTGAAAATCAAGCTGAGCTCCCGGGGCAGCCTGGAGGAGCCGGAGCCCCCGGGCCAGCCCTTCCCAGGGCTGGGGCGGAGCAAAGCGGCCGACATCCCCCCCATTGACCCCGCGGTGCTGACGGAGCTGGAGCGCCTGACCCAAGAGGTGGCCCACAAGGTGGACCAGATGATGAGGAGCTTGAACGGCAGCATCCAGAACATGACGGCCCTGAGCGTGGGCTACATCCAGACCTACCGGGACGCCGTGGACAGCTTGGGCGAGTCCGTAGACATGAGTATCAAAGGGATGTACACCCTGATGGCCCGCTGCGAGGAGCTGGACCGCTCCATGCAGCCGGTCCACGCCCTGGCCAAACAGATCCGGGAGATCAAAAGGACCCTGGAGATATTGGAGTCACTGTGCAAGTAGGGCCGGTGGAAAACATTTCGCAGCTGCTTTGTTACTATCGGGGGAGGGGGACCGCTGTGCTGGTTGCAAACTCCAAAAGGGAACATGTAATGTGTGTGGTTGTGTGTTTCTTTCATGTCTTGTGCTGCCATAAGCCTGTTACACTAAAAGCAGACACTGCTTTGCCGAGGATGTGTCTGAAAGGGGCTAATGTCCCCTGACCAATTACTTGAAAATTTCCCACCCTCCCTGTTCGTTAGAGGGGATGATGCATGCTCAGGATTTCAAAGGACCCTAAGGGAATGATGCTCTCAAATTCAGTAGGAACCCAACTTCAGTGGGAGTTGGGCTGCTTTCAAAATCCCAGCTGGGAAGAATTGTCAGCTGGACAAGGAATAGTGAACTGGATTCCCTCATCTGTGTATTTCACCTTTCCCTGTAAAATAAGAATATTTATACTTAATAAAACCACTCTGCAATTTGCCAAACAACTTAAAATGTGTCCATAGGAAAGAACTTCTGCTATTGAGGCTTCCCGGTGTTATTTTCAAAAGAGCCCAGCATTGCTCTTGCCTTGCTCCCTTTGAAGTCAAGGGGAGGTTTACCTCCCATTTCAATGGGTGAAGAACAAGGCCCGCCCTGAGTGGTTTTGAAATTCCCATGCTCTCCATATTCAGCAGCTGAGGAGTTTGCCCTACAAGTGGATGTGCAGGATGCCGGCTCAGAAGCAGATTCTGAATCCTCTCTCAAAACCTCTGATGACTCTCACATTCGCTTCCACATTTAGCAGCCTAACCTGTGACCTATATTAAATATGGAAGAAATGACAGCTGTGTACATATGCTCTGTGGACCTTATACCCTTCAACTGGTTAATTTCTTTGTTTTAGTACAGCAGGGCTGCATGTATTTAATATTTGGCATGTGGTATGGAAGTGCTCCTTTCAGTGTATCTGGGGAACAGAAAGAATTAGCTATAGAGCCCCAAGGCCTTCCTCAGTTCCAGAGAGGACCAGGCTATGCTGTATGGGGGGGAACTTAATAAAGACAGGAACTTCCTGCTCTCAGCTGTTTCCTCATCTAGAGGTGTTAAGTGACTCCCCTGGCTCTGAGTCTCTCAGCCCCTTGGTGCACTAAGGCATTTCTCTCCTGGTAAGACCCTACCGGAATGGCACACCTCTGTCTGAGCATTGCTAAAGCCCAAGGGAGTCCGGTCTAAAGAGGAGTGGAAGCGGGAGGGGATCAGAGCCTGAACCCCCACTAGGCCCAGAAGGGATCCCCCCCAGCAGCCCAGGGGCAGCCTGGAAGTGTGGGGGGGATGTGCAGCTGGGCCTAACAGAGTCCCCCTCCCCGTGGGAGCCTGCAAACTGGAGTAGGGCTAGGGTGACCATGTGTCTGATTTTCAACCAGAACACCTGGTTGAAAAAGGACCCTGGCAGCTCTGGTCAGCACCCTCAACCGGGCTATTAAAAGCCTGGTCAGCGGTGCTCCAGGGCTAAGGCAGGCTAGTTCCTACCTGTCCTGGGGCACCACGCTGTGCCCCGGAAGCTGCCAGCAGGTCCAGCTCCTTGGCTGGGGGGCCATGGGGCTCCATGCGGTGCCCCCATTCCGAGCACTGATTCCTCACTCCCAGTGGCCAGTTCCCGGCAAATGGGACCTGGAGGGGGGCAGTGCCTGCAGGCAAGAGCAGCGTGCACCACGGAGCCTCCTGCCCCCGCCTAGGAGCCAGAGCTGCTGGCAGCTTCCCGGGCACAGCGCAGTGCCAGGGCAGGCAGGGAGCCTGCCTTAGCCCTGCTGCGCCGCTGACCGGGAGCCGCCCAAGGTAAGCCTGGGCCCCAGTCTCCTACCTTAGCCCTGAGCCCCCCCAAACCCAAGCCCCCTCCTGCACCCCAAATCCCTCATCCCTGGCCCCACCCCAGAGCCTGCACCCCCAGCCCAGAGCCCATACCCCCTCCTGCACCCCAGAGCCCTCACCCCCCTGCACTTCAATCCCCTGCCCCAGCCCAGAGCCCCCTCCCACACCCTGAACCTCTCACCCCCTCCTGCACCCCAACCCGCTGCCTCAACCCGCAGCCCCCTCCCGCACTGCGAACTGCCCGGCCCCCAGCTCCCCCTGCACCATAAAACCCCTCATCCCCTGCCCTGCCCCACCCCAGAGCCCTGCCCGCCTCCCGCACCCCAGAGCCCCCTCCCGCACCCCAAAGCCCTGCCCCAGCCCGGGGAACGTGAGCGAGGGTGGCGGAGAACGAGCCACCGAGGGAGGGGGAACGTAGTGAGCGGGGGGCGGGGCCTCGGGGAAGGGGGCGGGGCCTCGGGGGCGGGGGGCGGGGCGAGGGTGTTGGGTTTGGGCCAATAGAAGGTTGGTAACCCGAAGCAGGGCAGCGGGGCGGTAAAACCCCTGGCGACCCCCCGGCCCCGATGGCGGCAGAGGGTCTGTTCCTGGGGGGCGGGGCTGCGCGGGAGGCCCCGTTACACCCGGGCAACAGCATCGCCCTGCGGGGTCTCCGCAGCCCCCCGCCCCCTCCGGCGGGGCATCGGTTACCGGAGCAACCCGACCCCGCACTTCCGGCCTCCAGGGCCGTAGAGCTCGGGGTGGAGTGGGGCAGACAGGCGCTTCCGGTCTGCTCCAGCGAGTAGCGGCTTGGGAGACCGGAAGTGTTTTGTCCCCGAGCATCCATCGCCTTCGTCAGCGGAAATGCGTACCCGGCTCCTTTCGGTCTCCACGGCGGTCTCTCCTCTCATTGGCCGGTTCCGCGGGGCGGGGCTGGGGGCGTTGCCCTGGGTGCCGGGCGCTGAGACTGTGATGGGCAGGTCAGCGCGCAGGCGCTGTGGCTCTGTTATGGCGGCCGCCGCCGGGAGGAACGTGGTGTTCGTGACCGGCAACGCCAAGAAGCTAGAGGAGGTGGGTGGGGGGGCAGGGAGCTGCGCAGATTGGACGGAGGGGGCCACCGTACCGGAGTGAGCACGGTGTCCGCCAACTCCCGGAGGAGGGGCGGGGCCGCCTCCCGCGTGCGGTGCTTCCTCCCGCCCCCGCAGCTAGCCCCGCCCCCTGCTGTCACTGCCCGGCCGCTCCGCGTGCCGCCATCGTTAGGCTCCAGAGTTAACGGCCGGGCAAGCCGTGGCTCGGCCTCCCGCACCCGCAACCGCCGGGACTGTCGCTGCCCTGGGGATGCTCCCGACGCTGAACCTGTCCCCGGACGAGCCCCGTCGGGGGGGGCGGGCCCGCTCCCCTGCACCAGAGCCTGGTGGGAGCCTTAGAGCGAGTCCCCCCTCGCCATCCCTGGTCCTGGACAAACACTGCTCCCATCCGGCGCTGCCCAGCGCCCGCCCTGCTGCCAACTTCCTGCCACCCCCCCCCGTAGTGCGTGGGTCTGAGGCAGGTGGCGAGAGCCCCTGTGGCTGCGAGGGATGGGACCAAACTATCCCCCAGTATCTCACACACTGGGTTAAGTGCTGTCTCCCACCCGCAGAGCTTGCTGAACACCCGCTGTCTTGTTCCCAACAGGTCCTTCAGATCCTTGGGGATGCATTTCCCTACAGACTGGTCGCAAAAAAAATTGACTGTAAGCCCGTGATTTTGTTTCTCACTCGTTAAACAGTAACATTTCAGCAGCCATTGGCCAACCCTCCCCCCGCAATAATCCCTCCTGTTGTTGCAGTGCCAGAATACCAAGGGGAGCCAGACGAGATCTCCATTCAGAAATGTCGGGAAGCAGCAAATCAGGTCATGTCCTTTTCCGCTTTTCCCACTTCCACAGGTGTAAGTCAAAAATGAATACAGATTAACAAAGAGTTTAGGCTAAATGGCCCAGCTGTTACCCACCGCATGACAACCCACCCGTTTGGCACAGAGTTGGTGGGGAATTAAATGGCCATGGACTGACTGGTGCCAACAAAAAGGACGTAGAAGATTTGAATATAGCTACAGAGACATTCCAATGGAAGCCCATATGAGAAAGGGTCATAAATGGGGTCTGCCGCGGCAAAGGCCCTTCCCTGGCCTGATCCCACTGATCTCTAGGACTGAGAGTGAGGTCTGCTCAGTTTCTTTGGCAGAACATTCTTACAACTGGCTCTGTCCTAGATTATTAGTATTCTCGTCTTCCAATCCGGTAGAGCAGGGACATGGTGAAGGGTAGTGTGTCCATCCACAGAGCTCCGGCCTCTCACATCCCTAGAACAGAGGCTGCCACTGTTACTAGGTACAGTAACTCCTCGCTCAACGTTGTAGGTATGTTCCTGAAAAATGCTACTTTAAGCGAAACAATGTTAAGTGAATCCAATTTCGCCATAAGAATGAATGTAAATAGGGCGGGTTAGGTTCCAGGGAAATATATATATATTTACACATACACACATATACACAGTATAAACTGTTTGTTTAAAACTTATAATACTGTACGTAGCAATGATGATTGTGAAGCTTGGTTGAGGTGGTGAAGTCAGAGGGTGGAAGAGGGTGGGATATTTCCCAGGGGATACCTTACTGCTAAATGATGAACAAACACTCCACTGAGCCCTCAAAGGTTAACATGTTGTTGTTAATGCAGCCTCACACTCTACAAGGCAGCATGAATGGAGGGAGGGGAGACAGCATGGCAGACAGAGTCACAGTGTGAGAGAGAGAGGCGCATTGCCCCTTTAAATATGCTGACCCCACTCTAAGTACACTGCCTGTTTAAGTAGATCAGCAAATTGAGACAGCAGCTGCTGCCACTAAGCTCCCTCCTTCCTGATCCCTGTCGTGTGTCCCCCCACTGCTCTGTGGAGATGGGTGGCAGGAGTGGGCAGAGGGGGACACCCTGACATTAGCACCCCTCTCGCCCCCCCCCCAGGAAGCAGGGAGGCTCCCAGGAGTAGCTCCAAGGCAGAGGGCAGGAGCAGCACAAGGCAGTGGGGGGAGGGACAGCTGAACTGCCCGGCATAGGGTGGCTGCTGCACAGGGAACTTAGGGGAGCAGGGAGCTGATGCGGGGGGCTGCTAGTCCACCCAAGGTCCAAGCCCCCACCAGCTAACTGCAACGATCTGCTCTTCCTGCAAGCAGTGGACAAAGCAGGCGGCTGCCAAACAACGTTATAAGGGAGCATTGCACAACTTTAAACGAGCATGTTTCCTAATTGATCAGCAATGTTACAATGAAACAGCGTTAACCGGGACGACGTTAAGTCAGGAGTTGCTGTACCTATTGTGGGCAGGAGCGGCAAAAGCTCCTTAAAAATGTGTGTGTATGGGGGGCCACTGGCACCACCCATTTCTCCTAGGCTCCACCCTTGCACTGTCCCTTCATCCTGTGCCCCACCCCTTCCTGCCCAGGCCTTGCCCCGCCTCTTTCCCGAGGCCCCGCCCGTGCCCCGCCTCTTCCCACTAAGAACCCAGCCCCTGCTCGCTCCTTTCCACATGTCCTACGGCCAGTAAAAAGTGGGAGGACATTGCCCTCCCTCTTTTAAAAGTGATGGGGCTATGGCTACATGGACCCGCTGTTCCGGCGCCCCTGATTGCAGGTACGGGGTCAGCGCCTTTGATCCCCTCTTATCATTTGGGTGGCAATGAGGTAGTATTGTGTCCAGTTTTGGGCCCCACACTACAAGAAGGATGTGGAGAAATTGGAGAGAGTCCAGCGACGGGTAACAAAAATGATTAGTTTCAGAGTAACAGTCGTGTTAGTCTGTATTCGCAAAAAGAAAAGGAGTACTTGTGGCACCTTAGAGACTAACCAATTTATTTGAGCATGAGCTTTCGTGAGCTACAGCTCACTTCATCGGATGCATACTGTGGAAACGGCCGTTTCCACAGTACGCATCCGATGAAGTGAGCTGTAGCTCACAAAAATGATTAGGGGTCTGGAACACATGACTTATGAGGAGAGGCTGAGGGAACTGGGATTGTTTAGTCTACGGAAGAGAAGAGTGAGGGGGGATTTGATAGCTGCTTTTAACTACCTGAAAGGTGGATCCAAAGAGGATGGATCTAGACTCTTCTCAGTGATAGCAGATGACAGGACAAGGAGCAATGGTCTCAAGTTGCAGTGGGGGAGATTTAGGTTGGATATTAGGAAAAACTTTTTCACTAGGAGGGTGGTGAAACACTGGAATGCGTTACCTAGGGAGGTGGTGGAATCCCCTTCCTTAGAAGTTTTTAAGGTCAGGCTTGACAAAGCCCTGGATGGGATGATTTGGTGGGGATTGGTCCTGCTCTGGGCAGGGGGCTGGACTAGATGACCTCCAGAGGTCCCTTCCAACTCTGATATTCTATGATTCTCCACTAGCCAGTGGCAGGTTGTCATCCAAAGAGCGCAGGTGCAGATTTCTTTCAGACTCAAGAAGCCAGTTAGGCCTTGGGCTCCAATGAAAGCCAGGACTGTGCAAATGCAGCCCCCCGCATGTTAGGTTCCTCCAGCACTGGCCCCCCAATGAGGGCGATACCCATATGAATGCTTTAGATTAGTTCTCCTCCGACTTCCAAAGGAAAGCTTATTCTCTCTGCCGTGGTAGTTCCCCTTTTAACTGCAGATGCGGAGCACAGGGTTTGTCGCTTGTTCTCTTAGCCTCCGATTTAAGGAGCTTTAATGGATGTTGTGTTTTTATGAAGCCTCTAACGTCATGTGGAACCATAATGGATTGTAACTTAAAAGGCAGTTTAGGAGAGGGTGCCTTCCCCTTAGATCTAATATTTCTGTTTTTTTGACTTCCCTCTGCAGATTCAGGGACCTGTTATAGTAGAAGATACTTGTTTGTGTTTCAATGCCTTGGGGGGCCTCCCAGGACCATATATGTAAGTAGGAGTGAATATGCGTGTAGTTCTTTCCTGTACTACGGTTTGACTGGGGCTGTGGGTTTTTGAGATGTGAGTCCTGGGGGCTCTCCAAATCCCATTAGCAGAACTCTCTTTTCTGTTGTTTGCTGTTCTAACTCCTGCAGCTTCATCCTGAAGAGTGGGGCAATGGGGAAGGGATTTGTACTCACCTGGTCCCTGCTTTGCACTTCATGCGTGGTGCATGGGATGGATTGAACAGCTCAGTGAGCCTGATTTACTCCCAGCTACTGGCCCTGCAAAGGAATCCCTGGAGGTTGATCCATGCACTCCAAACTCAGCACGGGCGTCATTTGGAGGGTTGGGCTCTTAAACTGAAATGATGGTTTAAAGTGATTGGACCAAACTCATCCTTTGTGTAACTACTCTGAAGTCATCAGGGGAGGAATTTTGTCCATTCTGCCACTGCAGTAGAGAAAGAGCTTCAGAGTTTTGTTAATTCAAATCGCTGGATTTATTTTATTATATAATGGGACCCTGGAGGCTGCTGTAGTTCAACTGGTAACAAGATTTCTAAATTTAATCGCTCATAACTAAGGCTAAGGTTTAGTCACGGGTATTTTTAGTAAAAATCATGGACAGGTCACAGGCAGTAAACAAAAATTCACGGGCCGTGACCTGTCCCTGACTTTTATTATAAATACCCCTGACTAAATCTTAGCTGCTCTGGGGGGGCCCCGGGGGCCAATGGCTGACCCCTGCTCTGGCAGTTGGGGCTGACTGCTGACCCCACCCGCTGCTCTGAGGCCCCCCGGGACCATGGCTCTGGGACAGCCCCCAGAACCGCTGCTGCTCCAGTGGCCAGCCACATTGACTGCTCTTCCGGCAGCCCTGGGGCCGGCTGCTCAGGCAGCCCTGGGGCCAGCCACACCAGCTGCTGCAGCTGTGGAAGTCCTGGAGTTCCCAGAAAGTTACGGAATCCATGACCGAACCGCAGCCTTACTCATAACTCCTCTAGCAAAGACCTACTATAGCTCTTGGTACTGCTTTTTAGTTTTGCAATTTCTTCACAATTTGCTCTGCTTGTTCAGGTTACTAGGGCAGAAAACATGGAAGGCGGAATGTGATTATGTACTTCTGTAACTCATCTTCTTTATTTCTTACAACAAAACTGGGCGAATGATCACTCCCCAGATGTGAGTTAATTGGCTTAGTGATTCTGGAAGGAGGAAAAAAAATCTTAAGATGAAGGATTTTTTTTTACCATCTCACTGCTCATTTGTGGGAATTACGCTTCTGAACACTTGGCCTCTGGAATACTTAGCGCTTTTATAGTTCTCTTTATTTAAAGAGCTCCCAAGTATTTTACAAACTCACCTATGCGAGGTAGGTATTCTTCCCATTGTACAGGGGGGATTGCTACCACATGGAGAGCTTAAGTGATTTCCCCCAAATTGTACAGCAACTCAGGAAAAGAACCCAGGTGTCTTGGGTCTCTGCTTTAACCATTAGACTATGCTTCCTCGCTAAAATATTGAACATACATGCTAGGTGGTACGGCACAGCAGACTGGCATGTAATCTGAATAGCAAAAGTACTGGAGTAGAATCTTGGGCTAAAGAGCCACAGGCTCAGTTCTTTAAGAAATAGGCACCAACCCTGCAATGAACTCCATGCAAGTTGACCCCTGGCCCAGGGAGGAGACCCATTGATTTAGTATGACCCACGGGGGTCTGTAACTTGCTGGCTTGGGGTCTAAGTCTGCATTTCATAATGTTTGTTAATATATAGCCCGGAGTAAGGTTTACTAAACAGCGCAAGTTCAACAGGGATTCCTGGTGCTAGGAAACCTGTGCAGAGAGAAATCAGACCTAGAATGTTGCGCTGGACATATTTCCATTGTTGATGGCAATGGCAGAAAATAACCCTGCTCCTGACACTTGTGTTCTCTTCTTACGTTTCAGAAAATGGTTTCTAGAGAAGTTAAAACCAGAAGGTATTTCCCTTCGAATTACTGCTCTGAATGGGATTTGCTGTTCAGAATCACATGCTCCTGTGCAACCTAGCAATAATGTGAAATGAATCCCTTTCCTCTCTGGGCTTTCATGGCTCTGCACTTGACTGGTTGCTTTGCCATCTCTGGGACTGCTCACTTCTCCCCATTCCTCACGGTCTCCATGTGTCCCATCATGTTCTGCCCTTAGCCCCTCCCTTTGCTCCATCTCCACCTTATCAGTGAGTAAGATCATCTGCTCTGATGGCTTCAGCAGCCATCTCTGTGCCGATGATTCCCAAATCTACCTCTCCCACTCTCTTCAGAGTCATATCTGTCTTGGTACTGATGACTGCTCTTCCTAATTGCCCTGTAGTTATCAGTTCAGCATGGCAACACAGTAGTACAACCTTTGTGTCACCCCTCTTTCCTTTCCCCTCCTCACAACTAGACTATTACTGAATCCTGTCACTTCTTTTCCAACCTATCCAAAATCCATCCCTCCCCTGTATGTGCCTTCCTGATCTCCTTTTTACTGATCTGATCTTCCTGTCACCCACCTCGTGTCCCTCCAGTACCACCAAATTCCCCTTCTTTGCCTGCTCTTCTGACTACACTCTGGGAGCTCCCTCTCTGCTGCATAATGCTGTCACAAGTATGGACAATGGGAAACAGACTGACCCCAAGTGACAGGAGATGTAACCTTTAGTCTCAGATGAATAAAACCATTATCCTAGGCAGTTATGTAGCATGTCATCTAGGCATTGCAAAACATTTCAAAAACATTCATTAAGCCCCCTTGCAAGGATTCTGTGGAAAACTCATGAGTAGAGTCCAGGAATCCTGATCACCAGTCTCCTGAAATACCCGTGAGACACCATTCCCTGCCTAATCCCGGTAATACTCCCTCACCCTTGTGAATGTGGATGCAGTCCGTGGGAGGCCTGCCACGGGGGCACAAAATGTTATCTGTTTGGGGTTCCCCCTCCCCTCGCTTGTCGCAGATTGCCTCTTGTCAGTTGTGCTGTGTGCCGAATGAAACGTGGAGATGATGGAATCCTTCTTCTGTTGCTTAGGTCTGTACAAGCTGTTAGCGGGGTTTGAAGACAAGTCTGCTTATGCTCTTTGCACCTTTGCATTCAGCACTGGAAACCCGGAGGACCCGGTGAAGCTGTTCAAAGGCCAAACTTGTGTAGGTATTCAGATCACTGTGCAAAAGAAGCCTCTGCAGATGGGAGTGAGGGGGCTTGTAACGTGAGTCCGTTAACAGCACTAATTCGCATGGGGCTCATCTTGGCCACCTACATCCATATTTAGTTACCTACATAAATGGCCTGATTTTTCCAGGGTTGCTGAGCCGCTGCAACTCCCAAAGACTTCAGTGGGAGATGTGGATACTCAGCACGTCTGGAGATCGGGCTTCTCATTGTGGTGCCGAGGGGCACCTGAGTTTGAAAACGTTGGTTAAAGGTTCTGAATGATCCTCCAAGTTCTCTTGTCTCCACTCCTGAGCCTGGTGGCTCTTCAGCCGTCCAAGCCCTTTAATGCTAGGAGCAGAATGTGTGGCTGCACCGTTTCAATGAGCTGGCAGTGATGCTCCAAGCCCCATCACTCAGCTGCACATAGTTAACCCTTTCCTCAGATGTCCGTCTTTCCAGACCCTATCGTTTTCATTTGGATATGTGGTTGCTCTTCTCCGAACTCCCTCTAATATGGCTACATCTTGCTGGTACTGAGAAGCACAGAAGTGACCGGTCTTCTCCCACCATCCATGCCCAGAGTTTTCTCCAGCCAGCCTTAAATCTTGTTGCAGTTGCTCTCTCCTGCTCCTATGCCTGTTTGCTAGTTTATCCTTCAGACAGTCAGGAATTCTTATTGGGGGGCGGAGTCCTGAAGCCTCAACGCCCTGGGATGTGTATGTTGAGCAGGCCTGCCAGGGGAAGGTGGAGAGCAGTGCAGGAGGTCTGTCTGCCTACGGCATGGACGTAAGAAGATGGAGCACTAAACCAAGAAGTCCTAGTTGTTTACCTTGGCCTTGTTTTGCGGGAATGCTAAGCAATCTTGTAGCTTTTGGTGGTTTCACAAAGCAGAGGTCTAAAATGTAAGAGGTTCATTTTTCCACGTGTAATGATCTGGAATGTAAATGTGGCAGAGCAGTGCTGAGAAAGAAACCTCTTATTTTTTCTTCCTCCTCGAATTGGCAGGGTCGCATTGTTGAACCCAGAGGCCCCAGAGACTTTGGCTGGGATCCTTGCTTTCAGCCTGACGGTTATGACCAGACGTAAGTGACTCTTTGCCTTTAATTCTTTACTTAAGAAAATCCAAGAAACCAAAGGTTCTGTTAATGCATCAAGTGGAACCCACTTACAGTGAGTTCTGCCAGAGGGAAGTTGAGATGGGCTTAAAGCAGAATTTTACATCTGAACAGCTTTGACCATGGGGGACGTGGCTCGGAACCTCACAGCTCAGACTGTCTCAAGCCTGTAGGGCAGAAGACCTGAGTGTGCAGCGTGTTTCTAAAGAACTGTTTCCCATCCTAGGACTCCTCACAGACTTTGGAGAGATGCAGGGACGGTTCTGCTCTTGTTTTCTAGTAGCTGCTGCTAGTTAGTGGACTGTTGTAGGAGTCAGATATGGTTTTTATTGACTCTGACTTTAAGTGAGCTGCATCAGCCTGCCTAGAGTAGTGTTGATAAATAAATGGACAGAGGTGGCCTTGCACTAGGGCACGTGACTGCACAAGTCCAGGACAATGGAGACCCAGGCCCAGGGTCTGACTCTCCTTTGGGAACTGAGCTGCACTCAATTCCTTGCCCTCTGAATAAGATGACAAAGGGCTCAGTGAGTTAAGCCTGGCAAGAGAGCCTGCTTGACTCCCAAGTAGAAATTATGTGACAAAAGGTTGGTGCCGAAGTAAAGCCCAGAGTCAACAGAGGGCGCCCTAATCTGCACGTACAAAGCAGGCCAAGGGAACCACTTCTGCAAAGGAATGTAACAGTTACAGAATGCACGGATCTGGTCTGTCACCAGCGGCATCTCTAAGGCCTGGCATTACACTAGCCGGTGAAGGGAGCGGTCTCAGCTTCTCAACAGGCCGCTGGAGCTCAGGAGCACGCAGTTACCAAGTAAACCGTGGTTTAAACTCTTGGTTGGGACTGTGGCCATTCCTGTTTTCTCCTCCTCCCCAGGTATGCTGAGCTGCCCAAGGCAGTGAAGAACTCCATCTCTCATCGCTACAGAGCACTCAAAGAGCTCTCCGGCTACTTCAGTCAGCAGAACAACCCAGCAGAAGCCACCTCCACTCCCAGTTAGGCTTCCGGTGTCTTGGGCTACGTCCACACTGCAATAAATACCCCACGGCACCGAGCCTCGGAGCCCGGCTTGATTGACTCGGGCTTGCGGGGCTTGGGGTGTGGGACTAAAACTTGCAGTGTAGTTGCCTGGGCTCGGGCTGGAGCCTGGCTTTCGCTGGTTTTCGGAGCCTGGGCTCCAGCCAAGTCTGAACATTTCCAGTGCCATTTTTAGCCCTGCAGCCCGAACCCCATGACCCCAAGTCAGCTGACCCAGGCCAGCCGCGAGTCTCTGATTGCAATGAAGATGTGCCCTTGGGGACACCAGACTTTTACAGAGAGTTGTATGTGAGATGTGGGGTCCATTTGTGGTCGTCTGTACTGTCTATGTAGAATAAAGCTGCCCACTTTAAAACTGGGATGGTTTTCTGCTTCCTTTTGTTGCTTCTGAGGAGCCTGAAGAAGCCAGTGGGTCTACACTGATTTTTAGGGGCTGAAGTGCACTGGATACAGAGTTTGGTGTTCACGTTATCCCACAGCTTGTCCCAGGCCGGTGGCGTTTGTGCAGCTCACCCTGCCTCTTCTGTTCTCCCCTGTGCTGTTGCCCTATCAACAGGATTTTTTTGGGTGGTGATGGGAAGATCAGTCAGTGGTCATTGCACAAGATCAGTGGGAAAAATGACGATCATTTCCCCTTTGTGTATTGTAATCCTGATGGCTAAAATGCCTGTGAAAAGTATCTGACAGCTTGTCTAATGACATGAAAGTGTGATGCAAAGGTCACTAACACATCCAGATTAAATTTACAGCGCTAGTTTGCTATGTACTTCCCATCACCACCCTTCCCACCCCCTCCTCTGAGCCTGCTGTGCCCTCGCGCCTCCACCACCTTTGCCTTTATTTCTGTCTTTCCTGAACAGCACATACCACAGCCGCTGACTTTGTCATTTTCCACGCGGTGCTCGACCCACGCTCCGCCCCAGAGCCGGTCCCACCCCTACTCTGCCTCTTCCTGCCCCCGGTCAGCCTATTCCTGCCATGTTCTGCCCCTCCTCCGAGCACCTCTTGCCACCTCTCACGACTAGTCCACCATGTTTCTATTATCCCTGTAATATCTGGTTTCCCTTCCTGTGTCAGTAGTTCTAATTCATCCGTTTTGTCACCCAGGCTCTTTGCATTGTGTACAGACATCTTTGTGGTTTCTGCTTGGCTTTGCCCAGATTCCTCACCTGATTAGGAACAATCATTCTACTGCCAGTATCATCTACCTGACTGTTAGTATCATTGGTATTGGCACTACCTTTCCTCTTGATGTCCATTCTCTTCCCCTTTGTTGTTCCTTTCTCCATTGCTGTATCCTCTTTTACTTGATTTTCCTCCCAACGGTCTCCCCAGAATTCCTAGTTTAAAGCTATTTGAATCAGTTGTACCAACCTCCATCCCAGAAGTCTATTTCCCTCCCTATTCAGGTGGAGTCCATCCCAGGAGAACAGTTCTCTGCCCGTGAATTCCTCCCAGTGGTCGAATATCCCAAAGACCTCCTTATAGCATCATTGCCTGAGCCATCTGTTGATGATCATAATCTTCTCTCCTACTCTTGGGACAGGTAGAATCTCACTGAAGATCACCTGAGCCTCCATTTCTTTAACGTCTTACCCAGCCTGGCCTAGCCTCCCTTGATGCGTTCTAGTGGGAAACTAGCCGTATCTTTTTTTTCCTCACATGAAGGACAATCTGTGTGTCCTCATTATATAAAGGGAGCCCCACACAATATACCCAACAGAGATTCCTGCCCTTTTATGATGAGGGAGCCCAATGCAACCCTTCTGCCAGGGGGAGGCAGCAGCAACAGGGGCTAGGTTCAGTATCTAGGGGTTCCTCTTAACAATACAAAATAGAACTGGCTTAAGCCCTCATCCAGTAATCTGGGAAAATTTAACACCATCCGTAGGTGCCTCTAAGACAGAGGTTCTCAACTGTGGTCCACTGTTTGTTCAGGGAAAGCCCCTGGCATGCTGGGCTCGTTTTGTTTATCTGCCACGTCTGCAGGTTTGGCCGATTGCTGCTCCAGGCCAATGGGGGGTGCGGGCCGAGGGATGTGCTGGCTGCCCTTCCTGCAGCCCCTATTGGCCTGGAGTGGCGAACTGAAGTCCTCTCATGACTGTCTGTTCTTGGTTAACAAAAAACTCAGAGATGTGTTCATAGGGGTTCTAGGGTTGTCAACTTTCTAATCGCACAAAACCAAACACCCTTGCCCTGCCCCTGCCCCACCCCTTCTGCGAGGCCCCGTCCCCGCTCTCTCCATCCCCCCACCCTCACTCACTCCCTCACTCATTTCACTGGGCTGGGGCAGGGGGTTGGGGTGCAGGAGGGATGAAGGCTCTGGCAGGGGTGCAGGCTCTGGAGTAGAGCCAGGGATGATGGGCTTGGGGTGTAGGAGGGGGATCTGGGCTGGGGTTGAGGGGTTTGGAGTGTGGGAGGGGGCTTCAGGCTGGGGCAGGGGATTGGGGTGTGGGGGGGAGGGCTTCAGTTGGGGGTATGGGCTCTGGGGTAGGGTTTGGGATGCAGGAGGGGGCTCCAGGTTGGGGCCAAGAGGTTCAGAGAATGGGAGGGGGTTAGAAACTGGGGCAGGGGGTTGGGGTGCAGGAGGGGGTGTGGGGTGCAGGAGGGAATTTGCATGTGGGAGGGGGGTCAGGACTGGAGCAGAAGGTTGGGATGTGGGAGGGGGTGCTGGGTTCAGGCCTCAGATCTTGCACCAGGCCCAGTGCTCCAGGCTCTCTCTACTACAGCTTCTGGGCTAGCTCCTGCTGTGCCTTAACAGTGCTTGTAACTACTACTTGTTTTCTCATCTTTAGATTGTGTATTAATTATACCGATTTACTTAAGAATCCCCAGTTATCACTTTGAGGGTCGACGGGTTCTTGCCCCAAGATCAGGCCCAGTATTTATTATATAGTTGGGAAACCCGATGTGCACAGTTGCAACACTCACACTATAGGAACTCTTTTATATTTACAAATATAGTTTATTAATACATTTAACATAGTCACAAACACTCCAACTCAGTAAGATAGAGATACTACAGAATTCAGGGTAACAGCCGTGTTAGTCTGTATTCGCAAAAAGAAAAGGAGTACTTGTGGCACCTTAGAGACTAACCAATTTATTTGAGCATGAGCAGTGAGCTGTAGCTCACGAAAGCTCATGCTCAAATAAATTGGTTAGTCTCTAAGGTGCCACAAGTCCTCCTTTTCTTTATACTACAGAATGTATCTCTGCACTTCCATATACTCTCACCATCTCCTGTAGAACAACCTGCAGTGTTAGCCATCACCTTCCTCATCACCATCACTGTGCTCCTCATCACCAGTGGCCATCACTCTGTCACCTCCCAAGGACTACATCTCTTGCTCCTACCGCCCCTAGGCTGGGATGCCACTTTTATAATACGTTACGCTGACACTGCTATGTTTGATGCATATTCAGTAGGGGGATTTCCCCCCTTTTCCTTATTTGTATTTCCTCGCCTTACTAATGTTGGAGTGTCTTTTTCCTACTGGTCAGTATATCAGTGATCACAGCTTATTATCGTATATGTCAATTCGTTACCATGGCCCTTTTGTGATTAGGTATCACATTTGTTATTTCTGTCCTAACCGGTTATTTCAGTTCTTTCCAAGTTGTGGTGTACCAGTTAATTTTAACCTGTTAATTTTAAAAGGGAATGAATTTAGGAAAGCCCCTATGCCAACCTACTTCAACGCATCCTGTATGTTAAAGGTCGCAGCCATATATGGACCTTATGCTTTAGCTCATCACCATCTATCCAGGTGAAAAGTCCCAAACATATGTACGCTAACTTTGCCTTAGGTCAACAAACAGGATGTGGCCTGCAGGTCCCTTGTGTTAGAGCCAAAATATACTCTAATATAAATCTATAATAATATAACAAATAATCACACCCATAAAAAATAAGAAACTTATAAGAAAAGATATATAGGCAAGCAGCCATTTATAATAAGGCTCCTTCATGGGCTCCAGGTTTGTATAATTTTTGGTGGTGGCCAGAATGGGTCCAAGACCTGTCGGCCCCTCCTGTTGGTTGTCTGGGAATTAGCTCTTTTTTGCCTCGGAGCGCCCTCTGCTGGCCAGTGGCTCGCCTGATCAGGCCCCATGTCCCTACCGGACCCCAGTGCCCCTTTACCTCGGTGTTCTGCCCTAGCAGTACCCCCACACTCTGGGTCTTCCTTCCCAGGGGGACCCCCAACGCTCTGTGCCTGCCTTGCCTCAGTGGCTACTGCCAGTCATCATCTAGCCCCCTCTCACTGGGGCAGACTGTAGTCTGTAATGGCCACTCATCATTGGCAAGGGGGATTAGGAGCAGCTGCCTCTGCCAATTCCCAGGCTGCACCTCTGTAGCCCCAGTACTTTTGTAGGCCTTCAATAAGGCCTTCAGCCTGGGGAGTTGCCAGGCTGGAGCTCCCCAGCTCTTCTTGCCTTTCCCCAGCCCTGTTCTGCTTCAGGTACCTCGCTCCCAGGCAGCTAGCCGGTCTCACTAGAGCCACACCTGGGGCCACCTACCTCTCCAGCCTCCCTCAGTTGCTCTTAATTCCTTTTACCTTGGAGTGGGGCAGCTGCCCCACTACAGTCCCCCACACCTTCCTTGTAAGCCGATATATAGCCTTACCCCTGTCCACCCCACCCCCACAGCTGGGGCCGGGAGCAGGGCCATGTCTCTGGGAAGGGGGACCCAGACAGGAGAAAGGGGGATGAGGCTGTGGCCACAGCTGGGACCCTGAGTGTGGGGCCGGGAGTGGAGACCCAGCTGGCAGCCGAGCCCTGGGCACAGGTCTGGCAGTGGGTCTCCGGGCGGCAGCTGGGACCCTGTGTAAAATGTTTCCACATCCCTAGTTCCCGCGCCTATGAAAATAAGGTTAAGCATGCCTTTCAAGTTGATGCTCAGTGGACAATTATGAACAGAGATATTGTTCACATCAAAATGTACGTAAAATATGAGCCCAAACATTGGTGGAGCTGGGCCCGTGTTCCTGAATATTGGTGGAGCACGGGCACCACAGGCCCATAAAACTTGCCGCCTATGGGGTCCTTTACATCACTCTGGTAATGTAGGGGCCTTAAAACTTTCACAGTTTTAAAGCTTCTGGGGGCCTTGACTAAGAATGGGAACAGTTAACTAACAATAGGAACATTAACAATGTTACTACATAGACAGGCTGCTACATTTCTGCCTCAGAGAATGAGATCAATTAACCGTCAACAGCAACTTTAACTGTTAGGACACAGTCAGGCTGCTACATTTGTGCCTCAGAATATGAGACCAATTAACTAACTGGCAGGCTGCTACATTTCTGCCTCTAGCCGGCCTTGTGCATAATAAAAAGCCCTACCTTTCCATGCCAGTGAGCTGCAGTAGCAAGCGAGAGGGACAGAGTCTCTCTCTCTCTCTCGTTGGCATGCACGTACATCCAGCCCCGCCCTGCCTCCCCATGGTGATCAACCACGCAGGCACGCACGCCCAGCCCCCCTCCCCTGTTCTGAGGCTGCTCCAGGAACACCGGAACAGACACGCTGCCGGGGAAGAGACGTGTGTCCCCTGGCAGATTTTTTTTTGCGTTTTTCTGCACGGGGAGGCACAGAAAACTGCGGGCCACATGAATTCTGTGCCCGCGCAGTGGCGCAGACTTCTGTCAGGAGTAAAGTCCGGCGTGGACTTTGGGCGCATACTTGGCTTGCGAGCCCGTTCTGAAGCCTGTGCTGTGCTGGAGTACAGGCCGTGTGGGGCCAGTAGACCTCGGTGCCGCACAGGGGGCGGCAGGTGACCCCCCCCACCCTCTTGGTAGGGCGGCACGGCCATTGGTTGTGGGAAGGGGGTGCTGTGGCCGTTACAGAGGGGGACAGGGGAAGTTCTTGCCGTGGCCATTAGATGCGGGAAGAGGGAGGTGGTCGCTGTGGCCGTTACGGGGGTGGGGGGAGGCGGGCACTGGAGCCCGGGGCCCGCAGCGCAGCCTTCATCCCCCGCTGGCTCAGCACCGGCTGGCAGAAGAGGCAGCAGGGCACAGCCCCACCCTGGTCCTGGTGCGAGGGGCCGTGGGGGCTCTGGACCACAAGGGTCTGTCCCTGGTCTCTTCCCCAGGAGAGGTGACGGGGCTCCCCGCTGCTCTGAGCGCCCCCAAGCCCCCCTTCGCTGATCCCAGCCCCCCACCCCCCTTCTGCAGCTCCCCCCCCTCCCTCAGGATCCTTGCCCCAGGGGCTGCTCCCCCCAGCTGCTCCTCCCACACTCCCAGCCCCCCCAGGACACTGCCCTATGCCCTCACCTCCCCCCTCCCGCCAGCCTGGGGGGACACGGACCGTGCAGGCCGCTGAGAGCTTCCCGCGCGGCGCGCTGCCCCGGCCAGTAGGGGGCGCGGCGTGTCCGGCTGTCCGAGGCACGTGTCCTCACCCCGGCCGGGGCGGCGATGCCGGGGCCGTAGAACGCTGCTATTGGTTAGCAGGCTTGTCATTCCAGTCTCCTCTCGGCTGCTGATTGGGGGAAGCCGAGGAGGGTGGCGGGAGGCTCGGTCCCCGGCTCCCGGGGACTTGGCCGCGCGGCGCTGCCGGTGAGAGCGCGGGGCGGGGCTGGCGGCGGCGGGTTTCCCACCCCCCCCCCAGCCCCATGCCACGCGCCCTGTCTGCATGGGGTCGTTGCCGCTGCAGAGGGGAGGCGGGCGCCGCAGCGGTTCCAGAGCGGGCCGCGGGGAGGAGGGCGCCGTGGCGGTTACTGAGGGGAGCGGTGGAGGCGGGCGCGGCGGCCGTTACGGGGGGGAGGGGCAGGCGGCGCGGCGGCCGTTACGGGGGGGAGGGGCAGGCGGGCGCGGCGGCCGTTACGGGGGGGGAGGGGCAGGCGATCGCGGCGCCGTTACGGGGGGGAGGGGCAGGCGGGCGCGGCGGCCGTTACGGGGGGGGAGGGGCAGGCGGGCGCGGCGGCCGTTACGGGGGGGAGGGGCAGGCGGGCGCGGCGGCCGTTACGGGGGGGCCGGGGCGCTCCCTGCCAGTGGCCGAGGGGACCCCCGCGCGAGGGCGGGGCGACTAGCAGGTCGCCGGGGGAGGGGGAACATCTGCCCTGGCCGCAGTCCCAGGGCGTGGGGGGCAGAGGGGCTCCCCCCCTTTCCGGGGGCCGCAGCTCAGCACCCGCTCCCCGAGAAGCGCCCCCCGCGCTTGGCCGGGGCAGGTTGTCCCCAGCTGCTCAGGGAGACCTGCCCCCCTGCAACACCCACCCCCCCGAGGCGCTACTGCTGCGCCCTGGTTTCCGTGTTTAAACCGATCCGGATTCGGTTCCTGTGTCTACACAAAGCCTCCGAGCCCGCCCCAAGTGCCACCTCCCTGCTGCTCTGACTTGCCCTGCCCGAGTCCCCCGCCGTACGCGGCCTTTCCCGCCTTTCGCCGATTTATCCAGGATTTGCCGGCTCTGAGCATCCCGTCATTTACCTTCCTTAACATTTTGCCGCTGGATGCCCTTGTGCTATTTATATTTTAATAGGAAATAATCACTGGTCATATTAAGAGGTGCTCATAGCTTCAGCAGTCATATCTCACGGTGTTTCTAGTATAGTGCTTCCTGTTTGTCTTGCTGTGTTAGATTTTCATTCTACGTTTTTGTTTTTAATCTTTTTATTGATATACAAGTTTAATGCTGTGGGAACAGAGGACTTCAAGGTGGACTGGTTTTCTGGGTTGCTGTCCAAACTTCTTCACTTTCCTTTGATCTGCCAATGGGGATGGCCTTTGTCAACTGTTACTTTGTCTCTTTATCCAGAACCCTAATGCTATTTCACATCACCACTGGAGTGTACAATTTGGTTCCCAAAGATTTATTAAAGGCCAGTTTTTTAAAGGTTGAAAGCACCTAGATGCTTTTGAACATCCCACTCGTCATCTAAATACCTGGCCCTATATATCTAAAAATTATCTTATGTAAATCCTTCTCAAAGGTAAATTTCTACTGTAATTTTTTTTTTTTTTTTACTAAATATAGGTATAAAGCCCCAAGATAGACTGACAACCACAAGCATTCAAAAATCATGAGTTATACACCCAAAAGTCATGAAGTTAAACACATACATACATTTTGGGTTCTTTTAATTTGCCTTTTTGTTTCTGAGCCTTTAGGGCATACTAGCTTCATGCTTTTGCTGTATTTACCCCAAAGATTCCATATACTGAAAAAAGTTGTACATTCCTACAACATTCAACACCATTTTGGACTTCTGGTAATGTGTTTTCCTCCCCCTGTTTGTAACTGTAAACTTATTAAAAATTCTTATTTCTCTAAGTAATTCCCCATCCTGCAAATATTGAAGTTTACACTTTCCTCTACTATTACTTCATTTGTTGCATACATAGATATTAATTTTTGTACCAAACTGTTTATTCTTCTAATTACATATTTTAATTTCATTGTCTTTTATGTATATTTTGTTATGGCACATTTCAGTGATGTTCTTCATTCTGACAAGTTTATTGTTCTTTACTGCCAAAGTCAAGGATTTTTTTAAACAATGAATATACTGTTACTTTTTTGCATTGGTTGGGTGGGGACATGGTGGTGATATCACCTAGCTTGTCTTTTGGTGAAACTAAAAGTGCTTTGGGTCCACTGTGTTTTTACAGGTTTCAGAGTAGCAGCCGTGTTAGTCTGTATTCGCAAAAAGAAAAGGAGTATTTGTGGCACCTTAGAGACTAACCAATTTATTTGAGCATAAGTTTTCGTGAGCTACAGCTCACTTCATCGGATGCCACGAAAGCTTATGCTCAAATAAATTGGTTAGTCTCTAAGGTGCCACAAATACTCCTTTTCTTTTTGTGTTTTTACAGTGGGATAGGTAATGCATGTGATTAAAAACATCCCTTTCCTTAGCACCTAGGACACAGATGTTAAATGAACCATTATTATTCAGAACTTGACAACCCTGTTACTGATTATATGGCTAACACTGCTCCTTTGCCATCAGATGTATTTGCGTCTGAATGCCTGCAGCCCCCCAGTTACGTGGGTATCAGGAAAAAACAGTTAAAACATTTTAAACTAAAGCATTAATAGAGATTTTTCCTCCCTTAATTTCACTTATTTCCTTCCCTTTAAGTTATTAAAGGCTAGTCTACATGGTGTGACACTAAAGGTGTGACATTAGTGAACATAAGTTACAATGCCTTACACCTCTGTGTGAATGCTCTCTTTCAGAATTGGCCTTAGTTTTGCACTGACAGGGCCATCATAGAAGATTGTAGGAGTGTTTCCCCTAAAAACTATTAATCATCAGGGTTTTTACGTGTTTTCAACATTTTTAAAGTTTTGTATAGTCCAGGTGCCATCCACATTTGATTTTTTAAGTCCAAAGCGAAGGGGAGAAGCAGTGGAGCACTCATCTTAGCTCTTCTGATTGTTGTCCCCTGTAGAAAAGCATTTGCAATATTTCACAGGCATCAGTTTTGACCCAAGAAAATTTCAATAAATTGAAATATAAGGTTAAAGGTTAAATTTTGAGGCGATCGCTTTCCTTCTCTCTGCCCTGCACTGGTCAGGACATCTTTCATGAGCAGGAGAATGAAGGCCTCATCATGTCATGTATAATGGGGCTTTTGGCATCTTACTGAAAATTAGTGGGTTTTTTGGTTGGCCCTCTCCCAATATAAAAAGGGGGGGGGCTGACGAGAACTCAGGATCCTGAGACTGACAGTCCCCAGGGCCAATGGGGAGAGGGCAGTGCTCCAGGTCAGTCCGATTGACAGGGCAGGCAAGCCAGTGAGGGAGTCAGGAACTCGGGGGCCCGTCCTCTATGTGAGCTGGAGCTGCCTGAGCCAGATCAGGGCATAGCTAAGGAGAGCAGCAGCCTGAGCTGGGCTGGAGGCAGTGCAGCAGCACTAAGCCAGAGGAGCCAGGTTGAACTGGAGGCAGAGGAGCCAGAGCTAGGGGTCTGAAGCAGCACAGACCAGCTGTGCCCATGGTGAGCCAGGGCTGAGCTACAGCAGGGAGCTGTGGGGTCAGAGTCAGGATAGCAGATGCTGGCTGTACCACAAGTAACACTGCAGCCAAATGAGGTGAGCAGCTGGGGAGAGTGAGAGGGGAATCCTGGGCAGAGGGCCCAGTGCAGGGAGACGTTGCCAGACTGGAGAGGGCACGGGAACTAGGGTTGCCAGTCGTCCGGTTTTTGACCAGATCAGCCAGTCAAAAAGGGGCCCTGGCAGCTCCAGTCAGCACTGCTGACTGGTCCCTGCCTGCCCTAGCTCTGCGCAGTTCCCGGTAGTGGCTGGCATGTCCCTGCAGCCCTTAGGCGCAGGTGTGATGGGGGCGAGCTGCCCCTGTCCCGAGTGTCGCCTCTGCAGGTCCCATTGGCTGGGAGCTGCAGGGTGGTGCCTGCAGGCACGGGCAGTGCGCACCACGTGGAGCTGCTTGGCTGCACCTCCGCCAGTCTGCCTAGGATCCAGATATGGTAGCTGCTTTCTGGGAGCCTGCCTTAGCCCTCTGCACGGCCAACTGGGAGCCGCCTGAGCTAAATGCCATTTGGCCAGAGACCACACCCCAAACTCCCTGCCCCAAGTCGGAACCCCCTCCTGCACCCTGATTCCCTCTTACAGCCTGCACCTCCTCCCACACCCCAACCCCTGCCCCAGTCCTGAGCCCGCATCCAAACTCCCTCCTGGAACCTGCACCCCTGCCCCAGCCCTGAGCCACCTCCCAGAGCCCGCACCCCCGCCTGTGCTGGAGCCCCTCCTGCACCCTGAGCCCCTGATTTCTGGCCCCATCCTTGAGCCTGCACCCCCAGCTGGAGCCCTCACCCCCTCCCGTATCCCAAACCCGTGCTCCAGCCCAGTGAAAGTGAATGAGGGTGGGGGAGAGCGAGCAACGGAGGGAGGGGGGGTGGGGCCTCAGAGAAAGGGCATGGGGTGGGGCAAGGGTGTTCAGTTTTGTGCAATTATAAAGTTAGCAACCCTAATGTGAACCCTATGGGAGGGCCAATACGGGGAGAAGGGTCTTGCCACCTATAGCCTGAGGGCGTGTGGCCACCACCGGAGCAGGTATCTGACCTGTGGTATCACCACAGTGCATCAAAGGCCTGAGAAGGAGGCCTGGGATGTGTGAGAAACAGACTGTGAACGTTTATGGCTGTTTATGGTGTTCCCCATGCTCATATGGTGGGGTCCTTTGTTCCTTTAACCTTTTCTATTTTTTCCCTTATTTTTCTCACAGTTGCTGTTTAATAAATTGTATTTGGTTTGAACTAAATGTAGTGATCAGTTGGTCAGGGAAGTACCTGGTGTGGAGAGAGAACCTCAGAGTGGGGACACCCCAGTGCCTGTCCTAAGGGAGCACAACAAGACTGCGGGTTAAGCTCCCCCAGGAATCCTGGGTCCAGCCTTGTCGGGGTTACAAGGAGTCTGCACAGAAGAGTGGAAGGGGAGTCTTTGAGGTCAGGCAGGTCTCCATGTAAAGGGAATGGGAGCAGGGACTTGGATCCTTTTGCTGTCTGATTCCACCAGGGTAGTGTAGGGAACTTTCCTGGCTTCTACAACAGCGGGATCATCCCCCCCCGCACTTACACTGGTAGATCCTGCTGTGCAC